AATTCGACATAATATTAAAAAATGTAAGGTATGACGTCATGGTAAGGATGGAGAATAATGCAAAATAAAACGTACTCAAAAAACACGCGTACCTTGCTCAAATCTAAAGGATTATCACTCAAGTGTACTACAGCACCAGGATGGGTCTTTCTAGATCTGGAAAATATATATACATATATTATATACGTGTGCGTGTATGTGTAATTGTAAGTATGCGCTGTTGTATAAATGTATATGTATCGTGTTCGCATACGTAATTTATATGCCTACTTATAGGATTAATTTCTATATTCGAACATACGTGTATCACGTTTTAAAAAAAGTATTCAAATAATCATTTTTTTACACCACAATTCAACCAATTGTGCACAATAATGTTCTTTTGCAAAAATACTTGATTTCATTTAAGCTTGGGCTGACTTTATACTTCTCTGTATACTTTGGTTCTTTCCAAAGACAAACGTATCTTGTTAGTATGCTTAGTATGCTTCGTACGAATTAGTACATACAATATGTAATCATAATCTATTACAACAACACGAAAAAAATAAAAAAAAAAAAAAAAATTAAAACAAGAAATTAAAATAGATGCACGAAATACAATGAAAGCTGTGCTTGTGCTTAATGCGTAACGTATACATAATAATACATGTTATCTGGTAAAATCCTGAAATGAAGTTTTTAGAGAGAGAGAGAGAAAAAAAAAAGAATAGACAAATTAGAATATATCTATAATATATCTATAACATTATATTATTGTGATATCAAGAAAGCTGTAATATCTATTCCATATTAAAGTAAAATCTCTAAAGTAAGGAAGAATTGGATGAAACTTAAAAAGTATTAAATAATAATTAATATAGGATACTTTAAATCATTTAGAATCAATACATCAGATTTTACATTTAAAATAATATTATTTTTATATTATAATATTTAATTTTAGAATTTGACTTTTATGAATAACATTATTTCCCATCCTTCTTGGCTAATCAAGAACCCATTGAAAAATTTTTTACCAAGTATTCATTAAAGATTCACATATATTATTCACATTGATTCACTTTCTTGATGTTTCTCCTATTAAAAATTAAATTTTAATTTACTTATATTTTCATTTTCCCTCTTTAAACCCTTTTATTTTTAAATAAACTTTAACGATCGATAATGCATGTTTTAAAATTGATCCTATATACAATATATTGTTCTACGGATTAATGTTCCCTCCATACATTCACACATTATACATATTCACACATTCTAATATGACGTACTTATGATTACAAATTAAATTCCTTAATTCTAATCTCACTCATCTTTTTGAAAACATATATATAATATTGAATTCTAAGATATTCTTTCTTTAATTTTCTTTTAAAATTATATAGTAGTTATCTTAATTTATTTATTAACAATATTTTAATCATAAAATTTAAAAATATTATTTCTGTATTATCACGGAAATAATTTAAAAAACGTGAAAGAAATTTAAATAGTATATATATACAATTAATTTCCGTATTAACTCGAAATTGCATAAAGAATATTTTTAATCTACGCACAAACACATTGCCTATTTTATAATTATAAAATTTTATAATTTATCAAAAGTATAATAAAGTAGTAACAATAATCTTCAAACAGAATTACAAATTGAAAATGTGTGTTGCTCGCGCTGTTTATTCTACATATGTACGTATAACACAATTGTTATAATATAATTATAATATAATTAATATTACACATTTATATAGAAAGATATTTGCATACTCACACTTCGATAGCCTTGTTCCAATTAATTACATATCCAGAAAGGACAAATGTTTCGATATGGAGTACATGAATGTTCCCTCGTTCCGTACCAACGTACAGCCATTTACTTTGTAATGGTAGGTGAATGCACGTTATTCTGTTTGAAAATATACAGAATATATTACAACTCATTTACGTGAATTACACGTGTAAAATTTTAATAAATAGATAATATATTTACAGTCGTACTCGATTCTTTTAAAAATCGTTTGTTGCATCGAGTTTATTTATATTTCTGTTTCTTTTCTTTTTTTTTTTTTTTTTTTTTTTTTTTTTTTTT